AACACCAAACCAGAAAACGGTGCAGAAGGTGAAAAGATCAAAATAGTGAACTAATGATGTCATTTTTCATCCTTACTCACGTTTAAAGGAAGAATGTCCAACATTTTGATCCAGTAGATGTCGCCCTTGAGCACCAGCATGAATTCAGAATTATACTGCTGTTAGGCCACGCCTCCTCTATTCTGAAGCCACTGCTCTCCTCCAGAGACACACCTCCAACCCCCCTCCATTCACGTTGGACTGAGGAGTTAAGCGGCGTACAAAATAGTCCTCGTCTTAAGCTGCAGTCACCTGTGTCCTGCATTGTTGTGTTAGCATGCAAATGTTAGCGCTCTTTAGTTAGCTCGTAGCTTCACATTTCATGTAAACTGACACAGAATGAGCGTGATCTAAAAACTCTTACTAACATCCAAATAATCAGTGAGTATGTTCTTCTTCTTCTCTCTAGTTCTTGACTAAAACAGCTTTTATACACAAGGGGAGGAGCCGGCCGTCCCGTCCATGTAAACACGGCTCTGACAACAACACAGCCAGCGGGACTCGAGCTTCTCCCTCATTGTAGACAGTCAGGACTCAGAGACACATTTACACAGGACAGACTTTATGATTTATTTATGTGTGATATGTCGCACATTCTTCCTTTAAACACAAACAAACAGTGAGAACGAGTTCACCATTTGGAGCCAGCGTTTGCAGAGTGTGAATCCGGTACGCCTCACTCTCTGAGAAGATTAACATGTCGTTGTTATATCGCGGTCTACTTGACCATCTAATAAGATTTTATCCACCGTGGTTCTGCAGAAAAAAAATGACTTGCACTTCGGTACGTCAGATTTATCAATGACTCAGGGCCTCCTACAGATGATGTCATCGAAAGCTGATCGGGCCCGGGCAGGATGCTGACCCACCACACCGCCCCTTTAATGAGCTCAGTCGCTCCATTTGTTTGCGGTCGTCCACTTTTATCTTTGGCAGCCTCTCCACTTCCTTTTGTCAGAGTGTTTGCGGCACGATGGTTTCAGGGTTTTAGGGCACTCTGCCCGTCCGGCACGCCGCTGTTTGACAGTGTCGACAGGAAAAAGCAGTGAGGGGGAGGGGCCCTTCAGACAGAACGACGGCGAGAAGGAGACTAATTGATCAGGACGGCTTGGGGGAGAGAAACAGGGCAGATAGCTGAGAGGCATTAGCACTGTGGAAATGTTGGGAGGAGGTGATTCTTAAACGAGAATGATGGCTTGACCGATGTTCCTGATCGTGTTAGGCACAAGATTGATCTCATTTACTCCTGTCGTCTCTTACATCGCTGCCTCCAGTGCACATTCTTATTTAATTGGGAAAATATATGAACATGAAACACAATTAGGACTTATGTAATGTGTGATTTTTAAGTTGCAGCTGCCCTGAAATGGCCCGATGGGACCGATTTGAGTAATTTGATCGCAGCCAGACTCGGTCTAGAATTTTTTTGAGGGGTGCAAATGTAAAAAACTGATTTCAACTCTGCATGTTGTTAAAAGTATTCAAATTATTGCATGAATCATTTGTGCTATACAAGCTCAAGTCCATTTACCATTTATCATTGCGTAATGATGAACACTAAAGGATTTTGAAAAAAGCAAATTATTCAACAATCTGTGGCTGGGCGAACCTGAGGAAGCTACAGGAAACGTGTTCAATAAAGTTACAGTGAAGTAACTTTCAGTGTGCCACGGATTATTGATTTATCTTTCATTGTTTGTTCCTGCAGCCGAGCGGCACCTGAGAATAAAGGTTGGCTGTGCGGGTGTGTCACGATGTGATTTGATTTTGATTCTTGGGGTCATGATTTGATTGAGAATCTATTTTTGATTCAAAATGGTTCTGGATTCATGATTCAAAGTCTACTTTTGATTTAGTACTCTAGGATCTACTCCAGCCATCTGTGAGACTGGCTGAATTTCTTGCTGCTCCATTTCTCATTCTACCGAGTTAAAGAGCTAGCATTAGCAGTTAGCAGGGAGTGACTGATTAGCCAACAAAAAATAGACTTTTGGACGTTATGAATCTCAGAAGATGAGAATCTCAATTTGTACATATATCGATTATTTTTCCCCACCTTTAATCACGAGTATAAAATGTTGCAGAAAAGGAACAGATTGGTTCCCCCAACTTAGCTGATTGTGCAAACCCAGAATGGCCACTAGGGGCTGGCTCCAAATGTGAGTCAATCACAATCATGGACTCTACTTGAAATCTGATTGGCCACCCCAAAATCCTAAACTATGATTGGCTTTCTGCCTTGTCGGGGGCGGGGCTTATGTTCAAATCAAGCATTTGGGCAGCATTTTGGAACATGCAGCGTGGTAGTTTTCTGTTTGTTTGAAATAAACTAAAAGATATTGTCTAAGTATTTAGATTTTGAGGCACCCCGGTTGGACCACCCGACTCAAAAACTCTCTGGTCTCGCCCTCGGTGCTCACCACACCGGTCTTGTAATCTGTTTTGATTTCCATACATTGATTCATTAGTGATGTCAAGATTACGAGAGGCAGCATTTGAGTTAACTTTTTCAGTCCGAGCTGCACACTTGTGAACTCAAAACTCACTTCCCCCCCCGAATGACTTGAACATTTCCAACAGGAGACGGAAAAAGAGCTTCTCAGACATTGAACAAAAAGTTGTTCTCGTTAATGGCTCACAACTGGTGAATGCATTATTAATTAACCTTTTATAAAGCATATCGTTAAAACCTATATTCCCTCGATAAAAGTGATTCACTGAGATTGTTCTTCATCCAACGATCAGAAGAGTGAAACCTGAATTCCCTTATTAGACCTCTTATAAATAAATATCAGTATCAGCCAGGAGGAAAAAAGAAAAACAAAAGTTAAATTCAGACAGTCCATCTCAGTCGTCACCCCTCCTAAACAAAAAACAGTTTAGAAGCAGTCCGCCCGGCCCCCCCCCCCCCCCTCCTCTCAGCACGATCCCGGTCTCCCTCCGAGCCCTGGGGACCTGGTATTGATCGGTGCCTCGTAGGTAGTGATTGGACATGAGTGGATAATTTCCTTTGCTGCATTAGAGTCCATTACTGGTCCGCTCCCCGGAAAGCGATAGACATCCTCAACAAAAAAAAAAAAAGGAAAACAAAAAAAGGGAGGACGATTCTTCTTGGAAATGCAGTCTGCTCGACGGATGAGGATGCACGCACTTTATTATCGTCAGGTCCGTGTGGAGGCTGAAAATAAAGATACTGACCGACTATGTAGGACATTTAGAGTCCTTTGTTTAAGCCCAGAACAGCTGTGAGGGTTTGTAACACTCCCAGTCTCCATCATATAGCATTTTAAACAAGCCTTAATCATTTAGGAAGTGGTTGAAACAAACAGTCCCATTTCAATACAGATGCCTCTTTATGAGCTACAAACAAGACCATCGAGAAGAATGTACAGACCTTTTCTCTACAGATACCCTTCTAACAAGCAGCAACCTCTGGTCTTGAAAAGTGAAGCCAATGCGGTAGTGCAAACTCCTGCAGTTCATCGAGTATCCACTAGAGGCTGACTGCATAAACACCACAAGTCACATACACAAAACAGGCTAAAAAAAGACGAGTGTTATCCATAGTTAGACGCATAGCTGAGATGATTGACAGGTGGGCATGATGTAACGGTTCATCAGGAGGCTTTAAACCCGCCTCAGCTCCAGCTCTCAGCTCGTCGTTAAGTTGACTGAAAGTTAGACTGAGACAGGATTTCCAACATGGCGGCTGCTGCCGATGAGCCTCCAGCGCCCCCTGCAGGAACAGACGGCTGACGTCACTCAGGCTTTGTCCTTTAATATTTGCAGTCTTTGATTTCTAACCAAGAGATTAACAGCACGCTAGGCGGGGAAGAGCAGGTCTACATGAAGGCAAGAAATTGAAAAAAGGATCCGCTGTATATCTAAGTAAGTCTGTTAGCTTGACGCTGACTTATAATAGGAAATGCCATTAACTGGCTAACAAAATTAGCATCGCGATAATTTAAATTTAGGAAATTTTTTTTTTAGACTTAACATTAGACTCTTTCTTACAGGCACATGTTTCCCAAACTCTGTGGAGACTAACTTAAAGGAAGTGCTGACTCATGCTAGTCTGATCCAGTGACGCTGCATGACTCGCTCTTTTCCTGCCCTCAAGTCAATAGAGGCCTGGAGCGTTGGATTCTGGCACCAAGATAAAGGCAGGGTCAAGTCATAGACTAAAGTAAATAAAGCATGTGCTGTTAAGTAAAGTTTACATATATTTCATTTTGTTTTTTTATTTGTTCTGTACATGTCAAAACACACAACAGAAAAGGACAAAGAAAAAAAACAAAAAACAATTCACACTTTATCCCATGTACGGACAGGAGCAGGGAGAAGAACAATTCTTGTTTTGCCTTCCCTTACTCAAAAAAACAATAAATGTCTGGATGGTCTGTCCAATTACAGTCAATGAAAGAATATCATGCCAACATAAAACAAATCTGACAATTCAGTCTTTACTTCCACAGAAAGTAGAAGGAAAAAACACACAAAACACACTGACTGCCACTTTCTGATAACTTTGTTCTTGTACATTTCTTAAACTGAAATATCTGAACACAACCCTTCAAATCATTATTTAAAGAATTCCACAATTTAATTCCAATAACAGAAATACACTTCTGTTTTAAAGTTGTCCTCGCAAACTGATGCTTAAAATGACATTTTCTTCTATGCTCTTCATCTTCTGAGCTAAAAACAAACATCTTTTGTAAACCTTCTGGTAATACTTTATATATATTTCAGTTACTTTTTCAAACAGTTCATTCAAGGAACATTTGTGAAACCGAGTTCTGTTTTAGTCTCGCGGGTGCCTCTAAGTAGATCCAACAGTTCTCCATCAACCACCGTCAGTGAGCCTCAAACTGAGAGTTAGCAGCTCCATCAGTTACAGTGTCTCTTATTACTCAGCCCCCGCCCTTGATAACATGATGACTTTCGTAACCCAGCAGGTGACCCTTTAACACAGACAGGGTTCTGCGGGTCCCCACATCTCACCACACTTCAGAGTCAGCAGCTGGACCGCTGTGGGTGTGATGCAGCTCTTCAGCACGGCTCTGGAAACTTATCCCCTCCATCATATTAATGGGATAATAATGTGATTGATTGGTCATCCCCCCCCGGGGGAAATGGTCTTTTCTGCTTCCTGAGACAGCAAGACTCATCACAGACACTAGAGGAGCCCCCCCCAGCAGGGTGAACACTCGTCCTGATCCGCGTGGTTTCAGCCCCGGGTTGTCCCGTGTGGAGGACGGTCTTCCTTGTTTCGGTGTCGCTGTGCAGCTGTCGGCTTCCTCGGCGGGGATTAAGGAGGAGGGAGGGAGGGAGGGAGGGGGAAGAGGTGGATTCCGGCGCTTCAGGACGGCTGAGTCCCGCTGCGATGCATGGAGGCTGCTTGGAAATGCTCCCCGGGTCTCCGGAGCGCTTGAGGCGGGTCCTGCACACCGACAGGCTGCAGCAGCAGCGGGAGGATCCGGCCGCTAAGCCACAGCTCTGCCGAGCAGCCACAACATAGGAGCACGGCTGCGCTCGGCTCGGAACCACGCAGCGGAGGTATATCCTCCGTCGGAGCCGTGATCCGGGAGCCTGAAGGCTGCATAATATCCCCTGCGTCGCGGCGGTGGGATACTGTGTAAACCTGTCGGGTGGCATCTATGCAATTTAATCTCGACTTTTCATTTTATTATGAGCACAGAGGAGGGAGAGCCGGGGGCTGCTTGTGGAGAGGCGAGGGGAGGCACTGCCACCAGCCAACGCCACACCTGGGATGAAGACGAACCGGACGGCTCCCAAGGACGTCCGCACCCCGACGATGAGGGGCAGGCAGAGCAGAGAGAGGAGGAAGAGGAGGAGGAGGGAGAAAGCTGCCAGGAGGGCCGGAGCTGCAGGGATGCATGTGGGGGGAACAACGAGGGGAATATTTCCAGTGAGGAAGGGGCCGTTGGGGGCAGCTCGTGCAAGACGCAGGCGATGCATTCAAACTGCAGCAGCGAGACCTGCATCCCCACTCCCAGCTGTCGGATCTGCTTCCAGGGCGCAGAGCAGGTAACTGAATGTTAACAGGTCTGATATGAGTGTGTCCCTGCAGCCCTGGTTGAATGGTGAGTGAAGGTGAGGCCACAGTGGTCTCAGTAATGTCCCCTGATTGGCTGCCAGCAGTGGCTCCTCTAATTAAAACGATGTAGACCTGCTGAGTGGAGTCTCTCACAGCAGCTCACAGCCTGGAGACTGGTGTGATTGGACGGATTTCAGCAGTGCAGCCAATCAGGACCGGAAACAAAAACAGAAGCGTGAACTTAACATGTAACAACTTGAACAGCATAATCCACATTTAAGGATGCAAAACAACAATGATCGTAGAGAGAAGTGAGCAGTAACCTTCTGTTCTGCTGCAGTGACTTCAGCACCAAGGACAGCGCACACATCAGCACAACTAGAGGTGAGCTGTGAGGCCCTTCACGGCTCCTTCAGGGGCCCTCAGAGGCTCTCAGTACAAAGACTAAATCAGTGCTTCACAAACTTTTTTTTCAAACCTTTGCAATAAATGAATTAACCATTTAAAGAAAGTGGTTTTGCAGTCCCACTTCAGCACCACGGACAGAGCTTTACAAGATCAGGAGGTTTAACACTTGAATTGTTCAAAACAAGAAATAATCGAATAAAACAAGGAAATCATTTTTGATTGAATCACGATGAAACCTCTGGTGTGTTCAGACTGGATTTCAGAGCAAAGGTGCAAGAAAACTATGAAATAGCTCAAACTTTACAACAAATTATAATGTAGTAAACTTTTTAAGACCTTTTTTCTGAATATATTTTGCACTAGAATGATGTTTTGCTTCAATGACGAAGTAGTTGAGGTAGAAATTTAGAGTTTTCCTCGTTAAACATTTCAACAAAAAGCATCATTATCAAACCTTAAATATCTAAATCAGAGCATCTTTCAGTTTTTGTGGATGTTGGCGCCCCCTGTAGACAAAATATGTAGTATGATGTCACCTTTAAAGTACCAAATTATTTAAATGCTTGTGTGTAGAGCAGGGTTTTCTTCACACCCAACAGTCTATTGTCTTTCAGATCGGATATTCCAGGTCATAAAGCTCCAGCTTCACTTGTAGTATGAAGATAAATGTTTTTTACTCTGCGCCGTGGCTCGTGCATGAATCCCTGATGAAGGCCACGAGCCGAAAAGTTGATCGTCATTCTACCACCGCACTAAGTGCTGCTGAAGCTTTTTGACCTCTTCAAGCCTTTCACTCTTCATGCACAGTGAAGTCGTGTCAAAAGATCCCACTCTTCTTCTCTAGATCAGATATCAGAAAAAAAATCATCAGCTGGCCTCACGGCAAAAGTAGAGAGTAACAAGAACATGCATAGAAATAATACTCAAGTAAATTCCCCTGCAGATGGCAGGCCAGTTTTTGTCCCAAAGCGAGTGCTGCACTGGGTCAAAAAAAGGAGAGGAATCGGGTGCTCTTCAAGGACAAAGGGATAAATAAATGACTGTGCATATAAAGTTCATTGTGACGAAAAGGTGGTCTAAACTGAAAGTCCGAGGCGCTCTCATGCAGAATAAAAATCCTTTATTAATCAGGGATTTGGAACTTTAACTCAATGGATTAACAGAGACTCTGCACAAACATCCATCTTCCCCAGAAGATATTTGACTTGATCTAACATAGGACGACATTTATATGACTTTTTCTCGAGCACTAGGTTTTAATTTGTGTTTTGGAGTGAAAAGTATTCAGAGTTTAAACTCTCTCTGAGGATGAATTGTGAAAACAGCAGAAATCCACTCCTCCTCTAGTGCCGACAACATTTTCTCTTTGTTGGTAGAGCTGCTTGTTGTTTTAAAAGATTCAAATCAGCTTTAAAAAATACATAAATTAAAATCGTAAATAGATATCGTTTCAGTCCAGATCTTGACATAATTCTGTCATAAGTCTGATACTATTACACAGAAGAAGAAGCTACAAAGACACATAGAGTTAAATCACAGATCCCTCAAGAGGACTTTTAATGTTCATAAACATTGTTCTTTTTATTTTACACTAAATACAGATACAAATTGACAATGTTTGCTTTGGTTTCTGAAATAAAAAGTAGCAAAGGCAAGTTTTCTTTTTCAGAGATCCATTAAAACACCAAGAGGAGTGTTCAAAAGGAAGAATATGAGACATGTTACACATAAATATATCAGAAATCAGTCTATCCTGTGTAAATGTGTCTCTGAGTCATGACTGTCTACAATGAGTGAGAAGCTCGAGTCCCGCTGGCTGTGTTGTTGTCAGAGCCGTGTTTACATGGACGGGACGGCCGGCTCCTCCCCTTGTGTATAAAAGCTGTTTTAGTCAAGAACTAGAGAGAAGAAGAAGAACATACTCACTGATTATTTGGATGTTAGTAAGAGTTTTTAGATCACGCTCATTCTGTGTCACTTTACATGAAATGTGAAGCTACGGGCTAACTAAAGAGCGCTAACATTAGCATGCTAACACAACAATGTGAAGCTACGGGCTAACTAAAGAGCGCTAACATTAGCATGCTAACACAACAATGTGAAGCTAAGCTAGAGCTAACGCTAACAAGCATGCTGCACAACATGCAGAACATCCATCCTGTCAAAGGAGGATGAAGTGCAGCGTCAGTCTGACTCGTCTGAACGTCTTCCCAGAGGTTGACAGATGTGGACCTGCTGCTTGGGCCAAATGGACTCTGTAATCAGACCCTCGGCAGGTCTACGTGGAAAGTGACAGCGAGGCTTGATGAGGGACCATTCATCTGAGCAGAGCTGAGGGGAAAGAGCAGTCAGGGCAGTAAATGTCCTAAGTGAAGTGAATATCCTGTCTTCTGAACGTGGGCTTTAGCCTATTAGCAGAGCTAATCTAATAGCTCTGCCTCCGGGTCCAGACTGATATTTGATTTCCATACTGGGCCGGTGGCTGGGCTTACTCAGCACTTATCAAGGATATCACAAAACAGAAATTTGACACTTTTAATATTCATTTCTAAGCAGATAACACTGAGAATGAGAGGTTATTTGACACCAGCGAGGCCAAATTTCCTGAGAGAAACTTGAGAAAACGGTGAAAGAAAGATCACAGTTGTACAGTGAGTTTGTTCATATTGTTGGAAGCAGCAGATGTCAAAAGAATCTCAACTCAGGGTCCACTTGCAGAACCTGTTGTTTTAAATTCATGCTCAGTTTTTTATTGACATAGGAGTCGACTAAACCCCCAATGGTGCCTTCCATTTGATGTCAGAAGTCGGAAATTCTGAGTTACTGGTCTGATACGTCATCAGGAACGCCCCCCGACTTGGAAACTCAGAGAACCTTCAGTAGCCTTAGCTAAATTCTAACATGGCTGCTCCGTGCATCAATTGTAGTTCAAGCTGTGACTATGTTGTATAATAGCAGCTTGGTGTTATTAAATCAATCACATCGATAGTACCGTGCAAGTTCTTTCTTTGGTGTCTGGAATTAATCGAGAGTATCCCACCATTTGTTGAAATTTGGCCATCTGGCTGTGAGAATAAAACTAATGTGGACCTCTTGGTAACCTGAGTTGCCCATGTCAGGTTTATGGTGATGACGTCTGTATTGACATTTGCTGTTTATTAATGTCAAAACCGCGTCCACAAAACAAAATAATATACAAATTGCTGACTTCTGATAAAACGCTGACAGGCTGACACGGTTTAAAAAACGGTTTGCTCTCATTCAATCACCTGTCTGTCATCACCTCTTACATTTTTATAGACGTAAAATAAGTTGAATGTTTTCAGTCAGTCTCAAATTAAAATCCTCCTTGATGTTGGTTTTTTTATCAAATCGTCGGTGGGCAGCAGACCCGCTTCACTTCGTGCAAGCAGAAGCCTCCGAGGTCCTTTGAAACCCACAAGGTTAATCTGACATGATGAAAAACGAGCGCCCAGACCACTGATCTTAATATACTATTAATATGCCACTCTGCGCCCAGTAGGCAGGTCAAAGCAACAGTAATGGCATCTTCAGGAATGCCTCGAGGGAGGAAAACATCCCAACAAATAGGTTTCAACTCCGATGATTAATGTCAAGCTGCGTCCGGCCGTTAATATCCGCGAGTGTTGCAGCTTTGAGAAATGATCATTGATCTGAGCGTTCTGGTAAAAAAAACAAAACGCTGGTGAGCACATCGTGTATTTTCTTTGATGTATGAAACGGCTGTGAGGAAAAGGCCAAACAGTGGAGCGAAAATAAGGATTTCTAGACGATGGGAGAGTTGACACGTCGACCTTGAAAATGGATGTAAGATTAATGCTGGCCACAAGGTTCTGATATCGACCAATGAGTAAATGGTTTCTCTTTATTGCTGACTTTTTTCTAACATCAAATCTGGTGTTTGGAGTTCAACTCTACAGCACGCTTTGGTAAATCTCTGAGAGTTACATAAAGTACTTTTAGGGAGCAGGCTTCCACATACAGAGACAAACTACGGTGCTTTAGGAGAGCATTAGGTCACAGAGTGTTTGACTTTAACCGACCTCAGGAAACACATCAGCCAGCTGAAACATATCCTCCTGCCTTATCGCCATACTGTAGGAGTTTTTGTTTTGTGACCTCGAGTGTATTCAGCCACTTCCTGCCTCCCATTCCGTGTCCCATATTTGACCTCTACCCCTTCTCCGGTCTCCAGGGCGACCTGCTGAATCCGTGTCGGTGTGACGGCTCAGTGCGTTACACTCACCAGCACTGCCTACTGAAGTGGATCAGCGAGCGAGGCTGCTGGACATGTGAACTCTGCTGCTACCGCTTCCACGTCATCGCCATCAACATGAAGAGACCGTGGCAGGTACGACTCTGCAGCACACTCGTTTGTTTTTTACCTTAGACTGCGTAATGGTTGGCTGTGGCTCAGTGGTAGAATCGGTTGTGTCTTGACTGGAAGGTCGGGGGGTTCTATCTCCCGCTCCTGGGCAAGACACTTAACCCCAAATTGCTCCCGCTGCTTCTGCGGTGGCGTATGAATGTGTATGAATGGATGAGTTGAAACTGATGCAGTGTCTCATGCAGACGCTGCTGGATAACTTCTGTGTCTGTGTGAGACACTGAGGGCTCTGTTGGTATTTGTGAGAAACAGAACAGGCTGCTTGAAACCATCGTACATGATAATTAAAATGATAAAATCAAGTGCTCCTATTCCGTAACAAAAAACAACTCTCAAATTTGTAGTTTAGTTGCCATATACAAAACGTGTCTCCAAACTGCAGCCGTTATGTTCTTTATGGTCTTTTTACTGCTCTTTTTTTTCCAGCTTTGAGGTTACAGTTTCCCCCCCTTCAGGATTATCTTTGAATTATTATAGAGACAATAACATGCAATTGTTTCCACAGTCTCTCATGTATTGAGCCAACAGAATTGTTCTCAGAAACACTCGCAGCTTCTCTGGTGGAGACAAAGATCCACCGTGGCAGAGTTGAAGTGAGAAAGGCTGTTTCACTGGAAGGCTGACAACAAATAAACCCATCTGCTTCTGTCAGGGCCTTGCTGCACAACGGGTCAATATACTTAAACCTGAAACAAACAGAGGAAAGCATGTCCATGTCCCCCTACATAAACACTAAATAAAAACTTGTTTTTGCTTTTTATGAATGACTCATAACTCACAAAAAGTAGAAACAAGTGAAGTACTATGCCACAGGTCCACAATGGTAACGGTTTGTGTCTGTGCCTCTTGGTTAACAGTGTTAAGGAGAGCGTTGGAGACAGTAAAGTTAGCCAAAAGTGCACAAGCACACATCTGGGGTTTCCACAATGCTGGTCCTTAATTACAAACTACACATCAACCTTACTGTAGGAGCCACTTCACTGAATGTGTATAGTATTGTATTTCAATGGTTTCGGTTTATATGATTATTTATTGACTTAATTTGGACACTAGGTGGTGATAATTGATAGTGTGGGTTAATTGGTCAGCTATAGGTCATGGGTGAACAAGAAATGGCGGGAACATACGGTTCATGGCGTAACAAAACGTACTTTTTTTTTCTTTTTCTTTTTTAAGATTTCTTTTTTATTTTTATTTTGAGATAGGACAGTGGATAGAGTCGGAAATCAGGGAGAGAGAGTGAGGAATGACATGCAGGAAAGAAGCCAGTAACACAACGTACTTAACATAAGAAACGAACAACAACAAATTTTTAAGAACTCCTATTATGATCACGGGTTGTCTCTGCTTCATATGTTACAATAAATGGGAACTTTACAAAGTCATTTCATTTTGGACATTTCCTTTTTTTTTGTTCTTTCCAGAACAACTAAGCAAGTGGCTAAAGGTACGGTTAAAATTCAGACATAACAATAGTCACTACACTTACAAAGCCCGGGTGTACAGCTACTATTTTATTATACATGAACAACGAAGTGTCCACATGAACCCTCACATCACTGCTGAGTTGAGAGGCAGAAGGAAAGCAGGAACTAAGTTACAGCCGTAAGAAGCGCCACTCAAAACTATCGTCAAGAAGGCGCCATCTCGTGACGTTGTTCCACTAGTAACTTAGCAACACAGTGTTCCATTCAAAAATGTCTTTTGATGATCAAATAAATATTTCTATTTTTGATGATCTGATGAATTTAGTCTTTGTGCATGGTGTAATAGCAACTCAGGTTGAAATCCTTTGAGGCAGATTTCAGAACTGGAGCCGAAACTAATCTATAAAAATAAAACTGCATTCACTGACAGTGGACGCTCAGGCAGAGTGTGTCGGAGCAGCTGCTCTGCCTTTGCTTCTGGTTCTATCACCCATCTCTCTTTGAATCAGAGTTACATTTGTGCTTTTGTTTCTTATCAGACATTGTTCATGATGTTTACAGCTTGCCATCCTGTTGCTCCCACATCGCTCTGTGAAAAAACGACACCCGTTTCCTCTTCATGCCTCTGCTGTCAGTTTAGGGTGTCAGATTCCTTAATTCCTCTTTTCCTTCCAACGCTGATCATACACAGATTCCTGAAGCTTAAAATATCTGGATTCTGGATCGCTCTTTCCCCCTGAAGAACATTCAGGCCTTTTCAGATCTGTTCCCTCCAGATGGGACTTGAGTCACTGGCAGACTGAACAAACACACAGCTGAGGCTCAGCAGAGCTTTTTCTGTGCACTCAATCTGCCTGAAGTCTGGTCTTATAACATGCACTCTGCAGCTTCACAATCATCCGCTCACCATCAGCAAATCTCTGTATCCAAGTCGTTTTCTATCAAATTTGTATTCTGTTTTCTGCTCCTGCACTCGATCGCTGCCATTGTTCTTCTGTTATTTATTTGACTCGGATAAACACATTTATTATAGCAACAAGTTTCTTCGCCCTCTTCTAGATTCTTCAAGGCATCTAACACTCACTTTTGGCCCTCATAAAATATTTTTTCCTGCTTGTATAGTGTTTTCTGGTTGTTTCTTCACTTGAATGTCCTACAGGGGCCCTACTCATCACTTTGCTCAGTTAAAGGGAGGTGTGTCACTCAGGTTTTGTTCCATCACAAAGACAGACAAAGATTGTTTTAACAACTTTCAAAGCTACAGTTAAAAAAAACCTCAGTCAACCTTCTATGCAAGTGTTTTAGAAGTCCTCGGTATGTATCTACCTTTGAGCAGTTGGAACTAGCACTAACTAGAACCAAGTGCATGCCATAATTACATAAGCCCATGTTTTTACCATAGAATTGAGGGTATACTAACTTGAAGAGGTTTCAAAAAGTGGCTTGACATCTTAACTCTCTAAGCAAAATAAAAAGTCCAACAATGCCCTTGTTAAAGACGCCCATATATTTTGCATACAGTTGAGGGCTGTCTACCTTGGAGAGGTTGCTAGCACATACGTTGGCAAGGTAGTGTAAAATAATATTCCTGCAAGTGAAATTAGAATCAAGTGTTTATTGATGTAAAAGCCCATGTACTTTGCATACAGTAGAGGGCAGACTACCTTGAAAGATTCTACAGTATTTTCACTTTCAATTTGCATACAGTTGAGGGCTGTCAACCTTGGAGAGGTTACTAGTACATATGTTGACATGGTAGCGTAAAATCATATTCCTGACAGTGAAATTAAAATCCAGTATGCCATCGATTTAAAAGCCCATGTACTTTGCATACAGTTGAGGGCTGTCTACCTTGGAGAGGTTACTAGCACATACGTTGACAAGGTAGTTTAAAATCATATTCCTGAATGTGAAATTAGAATCCAGTGTATGCCATAGATAAAGGCGCCCATGTACTTTGCATACAGTTGAGGGCTGTCTACCTTGGAGAGGTTACTAGCACATACGTTGACAAGATAGTTTAAAATCATATTCCTGAATGTGAAATTAGAATCCAGTGTACGCCATAGATAAAGGCGCCCATGTACTTTGCATACAGTTGAGGGCTGTCTACCTTGGAGAGGTTACTAGCACATACGTTGACGAGGTAGCATAAAATTATATTCCTGACAGGGAAATTAGAATCCAGTATGCCATCGATTTAAAAGCCCATGTACTTTGCATACAGTTGAGGGCTGTCTACCTTGGAGAGGTTACGAGCACATACGTGGACAAAGTAGCTTGACATTCTAGTTCTCTAAGGATAATCAAAATTTCAACAATGCCCTTGTTAAAGAAGCCCATGTGTTTTGCATATAGTTGAGGGCCCATTACATTGGAGAGGTTACTAGCACATACGTTGACAAGGCAGTGTAAAATCATATTCCTGAATGTGAAATTAGAATCCAGTGTATGCCATAGATAAAGGCGCCCATGTACTTTGCATACAGTTGAGGGCTGTCTACCTTGGAGAGGTTACTAGCACATACGTTGACAAGGTAGTTTAAAATCATATTATTGTAAGTGAAATTAGAATCCAGTGTATGCCATAGATAAAGGCGCCCATGTACTTTGCATACAGTTGAGGGCCGACTACCTGGGAGAGGTTACTAGCACATATGTTGACAAAGTAGCTTGACATCTAAATTCTCTAAGCAAAATCAAAAGCCCAACAATACCGTTGTTAAAAAAGCCCATGTATTTTGCATACAGTTGAGGGATGACTACCTTGGAGAGGTTACTAGCACATGCGTTGACAAGGTAGTGTAAAAATAATTCCTGACACTGAAATTAGAATCCAGTATGCCATCGATTTAAAAGCCCATGTACTTTGCATACAGTTGAGGGCTGTCTACCTTGGAGAGGTTACTAGCACATACGTTGACAAGGTAGTTTAAAATCATATTCCTGAATGTGAAATTAGAATCCAGTGTATGCCATAGATAAAGGCGCCCATGTACTTTGCATACAGTTGAGGGCCGACTACCTGGGAGAGGTTACTAGCACATATGTTGACAAAGTAGCTTGACATCTAAATTCTCTAAGCAAAATCAAAAGCCCAACAATACCGTTGTTAAAAAAGCCCATGTACTTTGCATACAGTTGAGGGCTGTCTACCTTGGAGAGGTTACTAGCACATACGTTGACAAGGTAGTTTAAAATCATATTCCTGAATGTGAAATTAGAATCCAGTGTACGCCATAGATAAAGGCGCCCATGTACTTTGCATACAGTTGAGGGCTGTCTACCTTGGAGAGGTTACTAGCACATACGTTGACGAGGTAGCGTAAAATCATTTCCTGACAGTGAAATTAGAATCCAGTGCATGCCATTAATTTAAAAGCCCATGTACTGTGCATACAGTTGAGGGCTGACTGACTTAGAGAAGTTACTAGCACATATGTTGACAAGGTAGTGTAAAGTTATATTCCTGACAGTGAAATTAGAATCCAGTGTATGCCTTAGATAAAGGCGCCCATGTACTTTGCATACAGTTGA